TTTAGGGGTTATAGGGTTTAGGGTTTAGGGTTTAAAGGTTTAGGGGTTATAGGGTTTAGGGTTTAGGGTTTAAAGGTTTAGGGGTTATAGGGTTTAGGGTTTAGGGTTTAAAGGTTTAGGGGTTTTAGGGGTTTAAGGGATGCACCGGCCCTTTCCACTATGGGCTATTAGATCTTAAGGGTACCTTAATCTACCCTTAATAGGGTCCTAATAGGGAACTTTAGGGGTCTAATATAGTGGTTAAGGACCCAGGATATTGGGGTTATAGGTTTAGGGTTCAGGGTTTAGGGTTGAGGGTCTAGGGATTAGGGTTTAGGGTTTTAGGGTTTAGGGTTCAGGGACCCAGTGTATTGGGGTTATAGGGTTTAGGGTTTTAGGGTATATTGGGACAATGGAAAAGAAAATGGAAACTACAGTAATTGTAGGGATTATATGGGGGTTATATAGGGATTATAGGGTGTACCTATATATATATATGTATATATGGGATCATATTGGGATAATGGAAAAGAAAATGGAAACTACTATTTAGTGTTTATGGTTTAGGGTATAGTCCCCCTAGGTAGATAGAATATGGGATGTATAGGGATGTAGAGGGATATGTAGGGATATATGGGAATATGTAGGGATAATAAGGATATACAGGGATATGCAGGGATATATCGCAATATGTGGGGATAATTAGGGATACGAAGGGATGTGTAGGGATATATGGGGGTCATTACCCCGAATCATGGAGAATCAAACGGCCAAAAACACGGAAAATGGAATGATAACCCTAGGTGATGGAGGAGATCTCGTGCCACTTGGGCTCCCTGAACTACTGAAATTCCCACGAGTGAAGAAACTGGGGCCGGTGCCCTAAACCCTAAACCCTGGGTGCCCTAAATATACCCCATACAACTCACCTCATGATAAGCTTGTTCAAGGGGGAACCTTGGGGGAGGGTTCATGTGCTGGGGAAAGGTAGGGGAACCCACTGTTACGGGATGGCGGTCCTGAGCTTTACACCTGACCCTGTCTTGAATCTCAAGGTAAGCTGCTCAACCAGATAAGTACTAGGGTCTGGGGTTTAGGGTAATAAGATTAAAGCCTCCCTATAGACGATTACAGCCAAAACAAGCTCGCAGTAACCCCGATTGGGAAGCTCTTTCCTGAACCCTCAAAGTCTTGCATCCTTGCCCGCGCTCATATCTAGAGTGAACAAAGTCCCTTCTTCGTCACCCCCGGCGCACTTCCTTCCGGAGCTTCCCGCAGCTTAGCCGCCTGGCATCGAAGGCAATTGATTTGGGAGTTTCACAATTAGGGGTGCCATTTCAGGGGTCCCACTAATCAGGGTTATCGTATTTGGGGGTCTATAGTGGGGCCCCCTCATTTAGGGAACCTACCATGTGGAGAGTGGATTCAAATCAGCACGAGTGGGTCGGACAAGTAGACTGCGGTGGATGGGTATGGGATGTGTAAGGCTACCCCTAAACCCTAAACCCCACAGGCCTCACCGTGACCATGAGTGATGCTCAATGCATGAACCCCACTCACCGCCGCTTTGCATGCAAAACCCTGAACCCCCCTAAGCCCTAAATACCTGGTTTAGGGTCAAGGATTTAGGAGGGTCCCTGAACACCCCCTAAAGCCTAAATACTTGCTTTAGGGTCAAGGATTTAAGGTCCCTGAACCCCCGCTAAACCCTAAATACCTGGCTTAGGGTGAAGGATTTCAGGTCCCTATATACACAAACTGACCCGCTGAATCCCGCATCCCGGAGCCCGAGCTGCAGACCCTGACTTCTTAAACCGGCAACACCAAACGTCAGTGACCTTTAACGTAGGGGTAGGGTTTAGGGTTTAGGGTGTAGGGTTTAGGGTTTAGGGTTTAGGGTACCCGTTTGGGTTCTTCTTTCTAGGAAGCTACAAGGAGTGTACAAGGCAAACAAGACTTTAACGATAGCCAGGCCTGTGGTCTTCCGTCACCTGAGCCAAAGAAGGCTGTCAAGCCATTGTGTTTCCCTAGGGCTCCAGTTGCCTAAACAATGGGAACTGGGTTCTATATTCCCTATAGTTACAAAGGCCAGTAACCTACTATTTAGGTAACTGGAGCCCTAGGGTTTCTTTCGTTGAACAGAAATGTGCCACACTCAAGTAAGCCCCTCTTCAAAGCCCACCAGATTGTTTCGGCTAAACCCTAAACCCCATAGCAACATCATCAACCCTAAACCCTGGGCTATGTGCAGATCTTATTTGTGAAACATACTCACCCATGAGGAGCTTAAACAATGTTGCTTCACTTGACGTCTCAGGAAGAACGGTGATGCTCTGGTGCCACCACGCGGTGTAGGGTTTAGGTTTAGGAAGTGTTTAGGTTTCAGGTGTCTCTTTACTTTAAGGATGGGGAACACAGGGAGGACGTCTGTTTCGTGCACTCACAAATCAAATGAGCAGGCCGGATTCACAACTAGGAGAAGAATGCTCGGGCTGGAAGCCCTGAAGGACAAGTCAACTAAGGAATAGTAACCGGTAGTAACCATCATGAGCCCTATGTCAAAGCTTCGTACTCAGAGTCTGCACATGAGATATAATCTAAACTCCCTAAAGGGGGTTATAAAGGGATTATATAGGGGACTACTACAAAGGGTTACTAAGGGGGATGCTAGGAGTTTGGACAATGGCTCATATGAGGACCATGAAGCCTACATTCGCTTTTTGGAAGGCTGGGCGAATGCTCCACGCCAAGGAGCTGAAGAAGCCAGGACCTCCCTACAACCCCAAAAAACCCTAAACCTTAAACACTAAGCCCTAAATCCCTAGCCTTACACCCTAAACCCTAACACACCTGAACCTTAAACCCTAAAGCCCTACACCCTAAACCCTACACATCTCCATAGCCCCTGGGTAAGGGGTCCTAAGGACCCTAAACTCTTGTAACTGTGCCATCCTAATAGGTGCCTTGCTAGCAGCAAAGCCCTGGACATCTAGCTTCTAGGCAGGGAAGTTACGAAACACTGGTGTAATTACAGAAGACTATAGGGTATTTAGGGGTTTCCCAAAATTAGGGGTACCGTTCGGGGGGTCCCAATAAGAAGGATAATAGTATTATGAACATTGGGATCCCATTTTTTATGGAAACTCTTGGATGTTTGGCTGCTTCTTGGGCTTCTCCTGTCTAGCTTGGGCCAGAACGGTTCAACATCACGTTGAACTGAACCAGATCGCCTGCGGCACAGGTTATCCTACATAAGACGAGGTACCCTGCAAGGAATTTCGAAAATCACCTTAAACCCTAAACGCTAAACCTTAAACCCTAAACCTAAACCCTAGTAGCAAGCCCCAAGGCTGCTTGAACCCTCGAACAGTGGAAGGTTTGACTTGAGCACTGGCAACTACTATTTAGTGTTTAGGGTCTTTAGGGTCTTTAGGGTTTAAGGAGTACCTGGTTGACACGGCCTGTCCCATCATAGCGGGGAACTGCGGCAGATTTGTTCACAAACCATGCCCTGACCGCTGCTTGAAAATGGACGTCCAGAGCTTACTCCAGCATGACGTGCGAGTCTCAGAAAGTAGGCTTGCAATATCAGAGCCTGCCCCGCCCTTTTCGCACCCGTGCTTGAAGCTCACGTCTCACAAAGCTATGGTCACAAACCCAGCTGCTTCATTCAAAGTCAAACCTGAATGGTGTTTTTTGGCGTTTGGACAAAGCATGATGGTATACATTTTTTGAACTATTATGCTGTAGCTGCGGGCAGATCTATTGATACTCTATGCTGGGTACTAGAGCAGCACCACTTGCAATACTAGTCACCTGGGTACCAAGCCGACAAGACATACGGTTAAAGAGATAATGTAGATCCATGATTCATAACCCTCTTTAAGGGCCTCAATATTAGGATCCCTATTCTAATCCCCATCTCGCCATGCCTTACACGCCTTAAACTCTGCGATGCAAGGGATTGGGGTGTGACAACTCCATCACCAACCCCAGTGAAGACAAACAAGACCGAAGACTGAGAAGAGAGCCTTCCGGATCTGAAGTCTCTTTGAGATATACTACAGGAGCCTAGAGAATTACCAACATCAGTTCGAGGTCCGTTTGAAGTACCATAGACGATAAGTATATAAGGAATATGAGACCATCATATTGGTAATGATTTAGGCCCCTATATTAATTGTGGTCCCTGATTCCCTTTTGCATCTTTTATGGCCTTGTGAAATACACGCATGATATGCATGCTTCCATCCCTACAACGCAGCCGACTTAATACCTACAAACCTGAAACCTACATGCACAAAAAACTGAAACCTACAACCCTAAACCTGTAGTCCCCCTTAAGTAGATAGAATAGGGGGGATATGGGGATCTTATTTAAATAGACCCAAAGCCATATTCTTTCTATGTATTCTTTTTATTTAACGGGGACTATAGACTAAAAATCTGAAACCCAAAAGCGTCTGTAAAGGCTCCGTGGCCCCACCTACTTTGAAGCTCTTGAGCTGCTTTCGGTGAAGGAAGACATCCCGACCTGGGTGTAGAGTCCCCCCTTAGGATTACAATGGGTTATATTGGGATAATGGAGAAGAAAGTGGAAACTATGGGAGTTATAGGGATTATATAGTGGTTATATAGGGATTGTAGGGTAAATTATTGCATGGGGGCTATATTGGGATAATGGAAAAGAAAATGGAAAATCCTATTTAGGGTTTAGGCTTTAATTTTTTTAGTCCCCCTTAAGTAGATAGAGTATGGCTGTGGGTACATAATAACAAGATCTCCATATACCCCATAATCTATCTACTTAAGGGGGACTATAAGGCTTGCAGAGGGTACTGGGTGTGTTGGATTTGGCTCAAAGGGGTTGTATGGTGTATTGGGTTCACAGTGCTTGTAGGGCCTATAGGGTTTGGAGACCTGAAAGTCTGGGGGCTAGAGTTTAATTAAGGGTTTAGGGTTTAGGGTGGCAAAGTTCGCGGTTCAGGGCTTGGGATTGAGGATTTAGGGTTGCGGCGTTGGGGAGGTTTACGTGTTGTGTGCGCTGTGCAAGGCCCATAAACCCTAAACCCTAAATTGTAGTTTCCATTTTCTTTTCCATTATGCCTATATACCCCTATATTATACCCCAATAGGCTCAAACCCTAAACTGTAAACCCTAAAGGCCCTAAACCCTAAACCCTAAACCCCAAACTCCTGGGTTGGCAGAGAGGGTTTTGTTGATCGAAACATGGTAATTTCCCAAAATAGGGGGACCCAATACAGACCCAAAAGAGCTATTACCCTAAACCCTAAACCCTAAACTGGTACCCCCAATTTGGGGAAACCCTCAAATGAGCCCAACCTTGCTGATTGTTTTCTGAGCTTTACCCTACGAGGTTTGTTTGTCCACGAATTCTCCTGTTTCCAACCTTTTAGAGGGGTTCACAGGGGATAGATAGATAGGGCCATCTAGGGAGACATAGGGTCTAGGATTTCTGAAACTGAGGAGGGGTCCCTTTCTGGGAGGCTGCATGGTCAGGACTTTTGTAGATGGGAGATTTTAGATGGCGTCCCCCCTACCCAAAATAGCTACCACACGCAATCCTTCACAACCATTAGGGACCTTTATAACCAGGGTTGTCATCTTTCTGCCTCTTGGGGTATATCACTTGTGACAATCCGTCTTTGTTTTGAGGCTTGCATGAAGCCGCAAGGCAAGCATTTCAAAGCTCCAGTTTATTCAATTGCTGAACAGTTCCTAGAAATACGAGGAGGAGGTTGGTGACAGGAATAGCTCGGTGAGCTGTCAAGACGCGGAATCTGCGTCATGAGCCCTAAACCCAAAAAACCTAGACCCCAAATGCTAGACCCAAAAACCCTTAGACCCCAAACCCTAGACCCTAAACCCTGAACCCTAAGGCCCGAAACCACGTTGTCGCATCATAAGTTCTACATGCGATGCTACAAGCTGAGGCCGCTTCACCCTGACCTGAAATCCTGAAATCAAATTCGCTAACATCCTCATGTAGGGATCATATGAGCTATAGTCTAAACTCCGTTGAGGGGG